TTATTTCTGAGAGAGAGACAGTGTGAACAGGGGAGGTTCAGAGAGAGAGGGAGACACAGAATCTGAAGCAGGCTCCAGGCTCTGAGCTGTCAGCACAGAGCCCGACACGGGGCTTGAACCCACAAACCATGAGATCATGACCTGAGCCAAAGTTGGACGCTTAACTGACTGAGCCACCCAGGCGCCCCTGGGTAGGTTTTTGTTTTTTTTTTTTTCTTTTGCCAAGTTTTCACTCAGGTCATCTTGAGTTGTTCCTAGATATTTTAACTTGTGTGTCAGTAACCGTATTTGACAATGATTTAGAAATAATGCAAAGTCTATGATAGTGTTCTCTTCCAGGAAGGATCTTGGGTTTGCTTCTGCTGGCGGCCAGGGAAGCCTTAGCAAGTTGGGGTCCTCTGACCCTAGTTTTGTTGACCGAGCTCTTTGAAGCAGGGCTGCAGCTCCTGGAAGGCTGCCAACCTGTGGCTCCCAAGGTATGGCTTTGAGTGCTAACTGAAGAGAGGGTTCGTTATGGTTACTGTCCTCAAAAGAGCCCTGCAGGTTGGTGAAAGTACCTCTTGGCTAGCCCTCCAGAACTGTCCACCCTGTCTCAGGGCAAAAAGGACCCAAATGTCTGTCTCTCCCTGGTTCAGCCACTCTCCCCGCTTCTGTTCACGCTGCATGTCGGCAGACATTTTCACTGTTTTGTCCAGTTTCCTCTGGCTGACCTCCGCAGGCGGGCTGGTCCTGGTTCCACAGTCTGGCATTACTCGAAGTAGAGTCTGGCTCTTCCATTTTATGTCTGATTATATGTGTTTTGTACATCTGACGTGTAAAGAATGTTTGTTATAATTTGCATTTCCTAGATTAGTAGTGAGATTGAGCATCTTTTCCTGTATTTATTGGCTCTTTTCTTTCTTTCCTCTGTTTAGGGTCCTTATCTTTGGGAAGTTTCCTTTTCCGTATGGATCTAGCACTTTATGCTTTGGTGCTGATCATCTGCAATTGCAGCTGGTCTCTTTCACATCGGTGTTAGGACAGTGTCCTGTGGACATGTTTGGGTATTCAAATCTATCAATCTTCTGGCTTGTCTTGTGATGGGGACACAGATATTTTATACATTTAAAAAAATGTTTATCCCTTTAATTCTTTTGGATTGAATTTTTTGTGTATTTTGTGAAATGTCTGATTTCTTAGTCGACTGAGCTGAGTGTAGAAGAGGTTTTGCAAGCCTAGAAAGAGCTACCAGCAGGCCTGAAGTGTGCTGGGAACCGATGTTTTCCTTGTAGTGGAGGGAAGGGCTACAGGGGAGGCCAGCCTGTCCTCTGTCAGTGCATGATGTTGAGGTCAGTGACAACCTGTAAGGACCACTTCCTTTTTTGTAACTAGTTTACTTTTGTAACAGTGAGAGCTACTCAATCTAAGAAATTCAAATGATACTGTGAGACTTCAAAGAAGAAAGGGGGCAAATGCCCAGATTCTACACAGGCTCTTTTCAGAGCCTCCCTGTGTGTCTGACATGCACTTGGCCACACGGGACCTCATGCCTTGGGTCCCGCAGAGCACACTGTGTTAAGCTGGTGGCCCAGGTGGACATGATTGCGGGCGGCTGGGGGCACGTGTTCAAACCCGATGTTTAGAGCCACGATGCCGTTGTGGGGCAGTTTCCTCGTCCACAAGCTGGGACACTCGCATGCCTGCTGTGGGTTCACTCACACAGCCAGCAGCCCTCTATCCATAGCGTCATTCACAGCGGACGTCTACGAAGTGGTGCTCACTCAGCACCATCAGTGTGGCCAACACTCGTGCTGCCAAGGTGGGGTCCACGTACCGCCTGCAGAGAGGTGGGGGCAGTCAGGGCGGGCTGAGGACCCCCGCGGGCCTGGAGCTGACCTCTCCGTCCCCGCAGGTGCAGCAGTACCGGGTGGCCATGACCGCGAAGGACTGCTCTGTCATGATCGCGCTCTCCCCCTGTCTGCAGGATGCCAGGTGAGCTGCCTGCTGCGTGTCCCGTGTGTGTGGTGTCCTGCAGGTAGAGGGTCCTGGCAGGGCCACGTTTGCTGACACACTCCTCTCTGAGGCCTGGTCGGCACCGTAGTAACTTACCACGGCTCGCGGACTCCTGCCTGTGCTCTGTAAGCTTGGGGCCCAGCTGGAATGACACTTAGGGAGAGAAACTTAAAAACTGTCTTATTAAAGATCACTGTGATATTCCAAGAAAATACTCCAAGGATTTAGAAGCAGCTTGGATCCTGTGGTACACATTCCTTTCTCTTAAAAGCCCACCAAGGCTTGGAGACCTGAGAAGCCACAGGTCTCCCCGGGTCTCGTTCCTCCACCCCAACCAGGTCTTCGTGTGCTGGCCCTTTGCAGGCTTGTAAGACAGCATGTCCCTGGACATGAGTGTCTGGCACACTCCCCTGCCTTTTTTTTAGGAATTCAGGATGAACCTCATAATCTTCTCTTGCTAATTAGACGGCATCTTCAGCATTGATCCTCAGACGCCAAACTCCACGTGGACACTGCGTTTGTGGAATGTGTTCCTGGGTCAAGATGACCTTATCGTTGGCTGCCAGCCACTCATTTTTTTGGCACTGTTGAACTAAACGTTCCCAGGGCTGCTGCTCCTTGGCAGGCACAGAACTGATCGGAAACATGGAGGGACGGTTTAGGCATAACTGAAAAACAACAAGGCTGTTCTGTTTGGTAGAGAACCCCCGTGACCCCTGGAGGAAGGGACCGCAGTGCCCATTCACTGGATTAAGTTGGTGTCGTTAGAGGACAGAACCGTGTGGATGTCACTCACTGCTCTTCCGGAATGTGCAGGGCGGCTGGGCCGCCCGGCCCGGGCCCTGGTGCGCTCCGCCAGCTGCCTGATGGACACAGCTGGGGCGTGGCACACTTTCCCGGGAGCCCTGTGGTGCGGCGCAGAAGCCTTTTGGTTTTGGGGCTGCACCCGGGGCTCATGGGAGCGTGCGGCAGACACACAGTCAGACTTGGTGCAGGAGCTGCCTCTGGCCGTGCGCCCAGCAGCCGGTGCGCAGAGCTGCCTGTCTTCATGCGCGTCACCTTGTCTATCGGGTGCCATTTTGGCTGTGAGCGACCTGCTGGAGGCTGGAGATGTGCTGTCCCAGCCCTGCTGCCTAGAACTCGGACCTCGGAAGCAAGACCTTGACTGCCCATTGGGAGGGGGTAGCTGAGGCCCCGGCATATGAGCCAGAGAGTCGTTTTCTCTGAAAGAGTATTTTGGGACAGGAATTGAGTCTTGGCCTTGATTCGTTTCATCAGATCGGGAGTGTGTTCATCAGTTTTCCCCTTGGCCAGGACTTAGTGAAACTTGTGTTGTTTGTGATGACTTCTAAATCTAGGAGAGTAGTTAAGTGTTGGGGAACTAGGACTCCTGAGTAGTTTTATTGGGCTAAACTGACTCGTAGAATACATTTAACCAGTCATTTGGAGGCAAGACAGTACCAAGCACTCTGAAAGCTGAGTGGGATGGACAAACAGCAATCTTAGTACAAAGTTCAGAATTAGCTTCAAAGTGTTTTTTTTTTTTTTTTTTTTAAGTTTATTTAAGACAAAGCATGTGCGAGTGGCGGGGAGCAGAGAGAGGGAGACAGAATCTGAAGCAGGGTCCACACTGTCAGTGCACAGCCTGACACGGGGCTCAAACCCACGAACTGAGAGTTCATGACCTGAGATGTATGAAGGGAAGTCAGCCCTCAGCATCTTCTCTGGTTGAGGAAAGGCAAGGCCTCCTTTTTGCTTTCCTTTGGGTTCGTAACACCTCGCTCCTTGTAACGTTCCCTTTCCAGCTTTCGGTTCCACCACCAGGGTTTGGGGAACACCCGTCTGTGGGCATAGACGGAGTGCTGGGAGACGCCCGGAGCCGGGTGTGCGCTGTGAACAGCGTGCGGATTTAGGGTTCGTGTGTCTTGAAGCTGCTCTTTCACTTCCAGCTCGGATCAGAGGCCTGTCGTTGCTTCGTCGCGATCCAGGTTTGCCTTCTCTGTGTCTGTGCTGGACCTCGACCTCAAGCCCTACGAGAGCATTCCGCACCAGTATAAACTGGATGGGAAGATTGTTAACTACTATTCAAAGACTGTACATGCCAAAGACACGGCTGTGATGTCCACCAGGTTCAAGGAGAGTGAGGACTGCACGTTAGTTTTGCATAAGGTCTAACCTCCTCCTGTGGTGTCCCTGAAACTTGAACACAGAATGTGAAGGTCGAATGGTAGAGCTACTTTCTGTTGTGTTGGGTGACTTTTGGCTGTGAATGTTTTCGCTTTTTAACCCCTGTTCAGGTGGGGACTGCGTTTGGGTGACCTGGAAGGCACGATCACCACACACGCGGCCCAGGAGAAGGCGTGTCGGACGTGTGTGCTGTGTCCCCCCAACTTCCACCTGGGGCTTGCGTCTAATCTCTGACATAAGAGCCTCAAGACCCAAGGTTTGGATCTCCTACCACCAGACTCTAACATAGAAAACTTGAAATGTCGCATACGTCTTACAGTTTGGACTTGAAAGAAAACATGGATACTACTGGAACTTTCCCAGCTGAGTTCTGTGGTCCCTTCTGTGCGGGCTGCCAGGTAGCACAGGCTTCGTGGGCTCTCTGCTACAGAATGAGGGTTGGCTGGCGCGGACGTGGGTCCTGGGCTGTGTGGACTTGAGGTCTCTGTGGAGGACACCGCTCTGCACAGGGTCAGCAGGGAGCGCGGGACTCAGGTCAGGGGGTGGACACCACTCAAACGAGCGCTGACCTCCTTTTTAGCTAAATGATCTGATCTGAACTTTAGGGGACACCAGGCATTCCTTCCCGTGGGCAGATGTTGCTGTGGTGCTGGGAGCAGAGCCGCTGCCCGGGGCGGGTGTCCAGGTGGCCGTGCGCCACACGTGCTGGGTGTTCGGGGCCCTTGCTCTCGCAGGACGGGCCCCTCCTGGCTGGCACCAAGAGGTTCTTATCAGGGTCGCCCCCTGCAGGTGTGCCCGGCTGCTATGAAAACTGTCAGGAATCTTGGCTTCAGTTTTTTTTCTCCGGTAGGTTGTACAGATCGGTTATTTATATCACTGTTTTGAGGGACTAATGAAGGCTTAATGTAACATAAGATTATAATAGCGAAAACCATGGAATTGTATGAAAATGCTATGTGGAAAATAAGAATATTTTGCTGACTGTAAACTTTTGTGGGGAATTTTGTGATAACTTGAGAATTACAGTTGTTTGAATCAAGCCAGCTCTTCTAGAATTTACTCAGCTTTGTCTAAACACTTCCTCCACACTCAAAAAGGCACTCAAGTAACATGTGTCTCACTCTCGTGAGCATGTTGCGGGGGCAGGGGTTGTGTGGATGGAAGCATCTGTGTAGTGGTGGTCTGGCCCGAGGTCTCATCGCGGTGTGCGGAGGACCCCGGCTCTGCGAGTAGGCTGGGCAGCCTCCAGGGCCCATCCTGGCCGAAAGGGCCACCATCTGCTGTGGAGAAAGAGACCGGTGAGGCCTTGCCAGGTGGTGTCCTCCTCACCCTCCATTGTGGCCCCTTCCCTGACTGTGGCTTTAAGCAGGGTGTCCAGCGATTCTAACATCGTAAATAGCCCTGGGACCCGGGGTGTGGAGTCCTCCTGTGTGGAGCCCCGTGTGCAGGGACAGGGCGCTGTATCACTACATTTTGGAAGCTGACTGCTTGTGTGTGTTAGTGCTGCTCTCCGGGTAGGGAGGCGGGGGGGGGGGGGGGGGCAGTGCATCGCCCTGAGTGTCAGGTGGGGCCCTCCGGTGGCAGGGGTTGGGCTGGCCTCCAGGACGCCTCCACCCTCAGACTTGGTGAGAGGCAGGACCAGACGCTCTCTGAATTCAAAGATGGACACTCACTCCTGCACTGACTCAAAACTTAGTACGCTGTATGTGCTGCCTGTTTGGCATCTTGTATTCAAACAGCTGTGTTTATTTCCCCCATCCTGACGGCTTATATATGATGTGCTGTAACTGCACAGCCCACGTGTCCTAAAGGCGTGGCTTCTAAGTGGGAAACAGCAGCCGGTTGTTTTGAATAAAATCACACACCTACCTGTTTGCCAGGAACTAGTGGTCTTCCTCCACGCAGAGCGACTTGATCAGACTTTCTAGAGCGGCTTCGATGCCTAGCACGCCCAGCAGGGCCCGGAAGCTGCGAGGAGCTGTTTCTAGGAGTCGGGTCTTGTCCAGCTCCAGGGCTGAGGAGACAACAGGCTGGCTGAGTGGCTTCATTACAACGTACCCGCCTTCCCGACTGGGGGCACTGCAAGGGGCGATGACGGTCATGACCGTGTATAAGGCACCGACCTGCACAGCACAGGTGGGGACGGAATAGGGGGCCTTGGGGTGACAGTCCCCCTTCGCCTGTGCTTGAGTGATTACTGATGAAAATATTTTTTGAACTGATACAAAAAGCACATTGATGAGATTTCCAACTTTTGATTCTTGCAATGCAAAGCCAGAGGACCTAAGTAGGTGTCTGTTGGGCACAGCAGGTCACCAGAACACCACACGGGCCCCTACCTCGCTGCGGCACTTTGGTGAGAAGATCCAGCTTCGGCAAAACCTTTCCTTCTTCATCTATTTGTATCCTCCAAACGATTACGAGCTCAAACCTGAAAGAGGTAAAATCTGTCACCAAGTGTTTTCTGAAATCTGGTGGGAAGTGTGAACTGCATACGGCGCCTGCCACCCTCCCCTAAGAGGTGATCCTGGACACGTCTGCCCAGACACACCAGGTCTGATCAGGGAAGCGTGGCTGACCTCATTCACGGAGAGGAGGAGTACCCCAGACCCAACAAGATGCTGTTTTGTACCCATGACGTGGTGGTGTGACCGTGTGAGGGACACGTAGGCATCCACCAGGAACTTAAAACCTACCTGTGCGGAACGCGAATGGATAAAGTACTTTGAAACGTGTCAGCAGTGACAGAAAGCCGACTCTACCCTAAGACCCGGGCATTTCACTTCCAGGTACAGAAGCCTGTGTACTCGAGCGTCTGGGGACACGGAAGGAGTGTCAGGCAGAGTGGAAATGGATGGATCACCCAAATGTGCACGACCCGAGGAAAGCAGAAATACAGTGGTCACCTAAGGGAACAGAACCACTAAAAAGGAATGAATAGCTACACGCATCACCAGAAGCTAATTTTGGAAAGGACAGTGAGTGGCAAAGGCAAGTCGGAGAAGCCTACGTAATTACGACACCGTTTTAAGCTTGACAACAAAACCTCTACGGGCGCTCCTACACAGGCCGTGAGGGCACGTCGTGTATGGGGGCTTCCCGCGTGCACACATAGGACCCTCCACCCAGCACCTCTGGCCTCCCCTGCTGGTGCCGAGTGCTGGAGAAGCTGGGCCCTAGGGTGTCTGCCCTCACCCTGGCTCGTGGAGGCTCCGGACTGCCATGCAGCTGGAGGTGGCCCCCTCCGGGAGGCGTACAGCTTCTGGGTACTTCTCCTGCAGGAGAGCAAGTGGTGAGAGAAGTCAGGTGATTGAACAGGAGCCCTTGCGAAAGTCTGTAAAGTTGCAGATGGGCCATTACTAGTCCAGCTGTGACCTCACAGTGCCCTGGCCAAGACCTGGGGGCCAGAGGAGTCCACAAAAATGTGCAGCCCTGCTTTAGACATGCGTCAGGTTGCAGACGGCTATGTAGTCCCTGTGCAGAACAGGAGCCCATGGCAGCTCTGGAACAGAGCACGTCTGAGGAAGGACCAGGTGAGAATGACCAGACGGAGCCGTCACGTGCATGATCCAGACTGCCACGCTGCACACTTTGATGTCAAGGACCCTAGGTTCCTCACTGTTGTGCTGACCGGTTCCTGGCTGCCTGAGGGGGCATGTGCACCAGACCCTGAACAAAGAGGAGACTCTTTCCTCTACTTTTTGTGTCTCCCGGATGCTCGGACTGTATCTGCTCTGCTCTCGCCTCCTGCTGGCTCGAGTTTGATTTCCGTCCTGCGTGCAGTCAGGGACCCTCTTGGTTGGTCCTCTGGGACACTCTCCGGATCCTCAGACCTGGCCTGTGGCATCACAGCCACCCCACTCCTGCCTCATGCTCACTTGCGCCTATTCTAGATCTTTCCATTGCTACAGGGCCCCCATGGACCCACAGGGTCAACCCCTCAGTGTTAGCAGGTTGGGGAACAGCTTCATCCCAGTTTCAGCAGTTTGTCCCCCCAGGGCTCTGCTCTGGCCATGCTGCCTCCCTAGACCCTCTGCTTGGGGGTGGCCTCCCCATCTGTCCTGTTCTCTCAAGGCCTGGGTGGCTTGAAAAGGCCAGTCAACCATGCTCTGAGGTGTCCCTTGTGACTCAGCAAGGTGATACTTGCCCTGACAACAGCTGTCATGCCCTAGAACTTTCATGTTTGGCCCTAAAAGCCCATTGGACAGAGGCCCCTGCCACGGTGGCTGCTCCCACTCCATCCATCCTCAAGCTCACTGTTCAGTGGCTCCTGCATGTCCATGTGCCGGGAGTCACGGGCAGATGGCTCCTGCACAGCACGGCGCTCTGGCCTTTCCCAGTGAGCTCTGTGTCTTTCTCCCTCAGAATCTGTGCCTGGCCACTCCGTGTTCCCAGCGCTGAGAGGTCAGATGGGAGCCATGCCATGTACCACACCAAGCCACTGTGGCTTGCCCTGAGCCTCACGGGACACTTGGTGGCAGGGCTGGTGCTGTGGGTAGCAGAAACCAGGGCTTCAGAGGACAGGACTGTTCCAAGTCAGCTCCACGAAAGGAGGTCTTCTAGGGACAAAAATGTGCTACAGCTTCTCAAGGACCAGCCCCAACACCAGTGAGTGAGGCCACTGCTCCCAGACCCGTGTGCGAAAGATGCCGACAGAGCAAGAACACGTCCAAACACCCAAGTTGTTCTGACCAAATGCTGGGTTGGGTCTGGTTTAAGCTTACAGACAGTTTCTAATTTCAGTGAAACTGTGTGTCTGAAGAAATGTATACCGAAGTGTTTTAAATGGAAAGTGCCAGTTGCTTTTTAAACCTCAAGCTCTTCTGAATTAATAACAGCTGCAGAAGGGGTGTGCAGGGGGCACGTGAGCACGAGGCCGGGCCTGTTCCAGCGTGGGGCCCTGGGGTGGCTGACCTCCCAGCCTGGCCAGGCCTTCTCACAAGCGAAAGTAGAAATGCTGACATTAGAAAAAGGCCAGGCATTCAGTAAATTTCTGGAGAGCTTCTGGGGGTTGTGAGGGAAGTTTCCTTGTGCACGAGTTAATAACGTGGCCCATTTATCAGCTTCTTGCGCTTGCCTGGTGACCTGAGACACTCTGGGCGCAAGCACACACAGGAGAGAAGACAGGGTGGATGGCCTGGAGAGCAGAGCCCGCCTCTGGTGCCCAGAGACCTGGGGAGTGGGGGGGGGGGGGGGGGGGGGGGGGGGGGGGGGGGGGGGGGGCAGGCAGTGTCGGTGAGAGAGAGGTGAAGACAAGTCATGAAACGGACTGAACCCTAGATGTGGATCGGCACATTTCAACAGCATCCGGTGTCTGACGCGAGGTTTGTGCTTTCACAGCGTCGCTGGGAAGGCCGGGAACAGCTCTGCACGCATGGCGCCTGTTGGCCTTCACAAGCCTGTCCCAGGCAGTGGTTCAAAATGGGTGTTTGTTCAGCTGCTTGCCATAGTCCGGGGGGTTTGTGGTACAGCAGCGGGGGCCGGCAGCATGCTGGCAACTTGGTATCAGACCCTGTCAATACCTGAGACTCACTTTGCTGTTGAAAAGGCTGCTGGCCCAAAGGGAACAGAATTTTTAACAGAGCTTTAAAGAAAGCCAGCCTCACGTTACGTGTCTGTGATGCCAGCCCCGTGCTGAAAGGGAATGACCAGGGCACCCCTGCCTGCCTCCCACTTACACGAACGGGAAACCTTGAGTTCTGAGTTTAAATGTACCTGAGGGTTCACAAATATGTTAGTTCTTCTTGACTTTAATATTTTCCCAAAGGTCATATAGCTGATAAAAAGCTTTTTATACTGAAATACAGTGCACATAACATTTACTCCATTAAAGTGTATATAATAATTCAGGGGCTTTTAGTGTATTAACAAGGTTATACAACATCACTGCTAACTACAGAACGTTCATTACCCCACAAAGAAAGCCTGTACCTTTAGCTACGGCCTTCGCATCCCCTCAGTACCCCATGCGCAGCGCTCATGTGCTGTCTCCAGGTCTCCCGGAAAAATGGGATCACTCAAGATGTGGTCTTCTGGGGGGCGCCTGGGTGGCTGAGTTGGTTAAGTGTCCGACTTCGGCTCAGGTCATGATCTCACGGTTCGTGGGTTCGAGCCCCGCGTTGGGCTCTGTGCTGACAGCTCAGAGCCTGGAGCTGCTTCAGATTCTGTCTCCCTCTCTCTCTGACCCTCCCCTGCTCTCTCTTTCTCTCTCTCTCTCAGAAATAAATAAAACAAAAACAAACAAAAAAAGATGTGGTCTTTTGGGACTGGCGTCTTTCAGGGAGCATGTTTCCAAGGCCTACCCACGTGGCACTTGTTACTCCTTACTCTGCAGCATGAACGCTGCCGTACGGATGGACCGACTTCATCCATTTGTCTACTGATGGGCACCTGGGTGCCTTTGGCTTTTAGGCTACTGGAAATACTGTTGCTGTGAACACTGGTGTGCGGTTTTGTGTGCACACACTTCCACTTCTCGTGGTTGGGCACCTAGGAGGGGAGCTGCCCAACTCTTCTCCACAGGGGCTGTGCTGTTTTTAGGGTCCTTTCTGTGGTGTCCGAGGGTCCTGATCTCTCCATCTCCTTGCTGACAACATGTGTTATCACCCGTCCCCCCCCCCGAAAACAGTTCTCCTCCTCCTGTGGGTGTGAGACGGCAGATCACTGGTTTTGATTTGCACTTCCCTCATGGCCGAGGGTACCGATCACTGGTCATTGATCACTAATCATTTGTAAATTTTCTTTGGAGAAATGTTCAGATCCTCTGCCTATTTTTTAACCTGGGCTATTTTTCTTATTATTGAGTTATAATAGCTCTTTATATAGTCTAGTACAAATCACTTATCAGATATGTGGGTTTCTTCCATTCTGTGGACTTTTTATTTCCTTAAAGGTGTCACCTGCATAAAGGTTTTAATTCTGATATGGTCTAATTAATTAATTTGTTCTTTTTTTTTGCTTGCGCTTTGGTGTTATAGCTAAGAAACCACTGCTTAACCCAGGATTACAGAGATTTACACCTATGTTTATTTCTTTTTTTTTTTTTTACAGAAAAAAAATTTTTTTAATGTTTTATTTATTTCTAGGAGAGAAAGAGAGACAGCGTGAGCAGGGGAGGGTCAGAGAGAGAGGGAGTGACAGACTCTGAAATAGGCTCCAGGCTCTGAGCTGGCTGTCAGCACAGAGCCCGACGCGGGGCTCGAACCCACGAACCGCGAGATCGTGACCTAAGCGAAAGTCAGACGCTTAACCGACTGAGCCCCCCAGGCGCCCCAACCTATGTTCATTTCTAAGAGTTTTAGATTTTTAGTTTTTAAAATTAGGTCTTTGATCCATTTGAGTTAATGTCTGTATGTAGTGTGAGGCAGGGGTCCAACTTCACTGTTTCGCCTGTGAATATCCAGTTGTCCCCATGTCATTGTTGAAAAGACTGTTCCTTCTCCATTTAACAGTTGGGTCTAGGCACATTTTAATAACATATTTTGAAGGCAGCCTGGTCCAGAGATGTGTGAGTTTTCACTGAGGGACAAAACGCATCACAGACTTTTCAAGAAATGGTCCAGGACAACAGAATGTACACACGTAGAAAAACGAGCCTCCATGCTTATCTCTTACACAAAAGTGGATCTGAGGTCTAAATGTAAGAAGCTAAAACTATAAAACTTAGGAAAAATAGAAAACCCTTTTTTTTCTTTTTGAGAGTGCTGGAACACAAGCAAGGGAGGAGCGGAGAGAAGGGGAGACAGAGGATCAGAAGCAGGCTCTGCACAGAGCCTGACGCGGGGCTCAAACTCACAAACTGGGAGATCATGACCTGAACTGACGTCAGACACTTAACAGACTGAACTACCCAGGCGCCCCAAATAGACAATATTTGTAGTCCTTGGTTAGCCAAATATTTCTTAGATACATAACAAAATCTAGGATCCATAAAAGAAAAATAAATTGGGTAAATGATTGGCTTTATTCGAATTACAAATTATCTCTTAAGAGAACAAGGCCAGCCTCAGACTATATGTAAAGAACACCCACAACTCATTAATGGAAAGACAAACAACATAATTTATAGAACGGTCGAAGGATTTAAAGATACTTCACCAAAGAAGAGACGTGGAAGGCAAAAGGTAACATCACTAGTCATTAGGAAAATGCAAATTAAAACCACAGTGAGACATCATCTCTCACCCAACAGAATGGTTAACTAAACAGAGACTAACCACACGTTTTGGTAGAGACGTGAAGCCAGAGAGGTCCGGCGGCGTCCTGAGGAGTTGGA